TTACAGCTGCTGTGTACGATCTGACCTAGTTGTTACAGCTGCTGTGTAGGTCCTGATCTAGTTGTTACAGCTGCTGTGTACATCCTGACCTAGTTCTTACAGCTGCTGTGTAGGTCCTGACCTAGTTGTTACAGCTGCTGTGTATGATCTGATCTAGTTGTTACAGCTGCTGTGTAGGTCCTGACCTAGTTCTTACAGCTGCTGTGTACGATCTGACCTAGTTGTTACAGCTACTGTGTAGGTCCTGATCTAGTTATTACAGCTGCTGTGTACATCCTGACCTAGTTGTTACAGCTGCTGTGTACGTCCTGACCTAGTTGTTACAGCTGCTGTGTAGGTTCTGACCTAGTTGTAACAGCTGCTGTGTACGTCCTGATCTAGTTGTTACAGCTGCTGTGTAGGTCCTGACCTAGTTGTTACAGTCACGAGATTTTCTATGTTTCCTTATCGATCTTTAGTTTTTGTATTTAGCTCTGTTTCTTCAAAAGTATGAGTGCAGGACCAGCTTGGATAAAACAATCATGGTTATTCTATTTTGTTGCTTGCGTCAGATGCTGAATAATAGTCTGGTTCCTTGGTTCACTTACTTTTTCAGCATCCTCGTATATGTTTTTCTTTTTATCAGATTTAACTGTGTTTTTCAAAAACTGTAAGTGCTACACAAACTAAATTTACTTAAAGATACTTCATTGGTAGTGCATCTCTATACCAGCTGCTTCAGATGCTGGATAAGATCTAACAATCATTTTCTAAATATCTCAATTGTAAAAGGAAAATTACCAGGTACACTTTTATTACTTTAAACCTAACTTTAATATATTAAAAAGTTTGACAATCGAATAAACATTTTCTGAATAAAAATTCCAATTTAAATTGAATTTCAAAATTTTATGAATGTTAAGATTCACTTAAATTAATTGTTGTTAATCAAAGTAGGAATAGGCGAGACAAATAATTCTGTGGAATGCTGTTTTTGAATTTCTAGGCAATCAAAAGAATGGTGGACAGGAACAAGTTTACAGAAGAAGAGGCTTCTAAGAGACTGGACAGCCAATTGACCAATCAGGAGCGAGTTAACAGGTCTAATGTGGTACTATGTACCCTATGGGATTACAAGTACACCCAACAACAGGTGGAGCATGCATGGTTGTTGCTAAGTAACAGACGAGCCGTCCTTAACAAACTTTAATCAAGTAATTTAACACACAGGCTGTCTGCAACATAAGTGGAGCATACATGGTTGCTACCAGGTTACAGACTGTCTACAACTAAGTTAACTACAAAACCAAGTGAAGCACGCTTGGTTGCTACTTAGTAACAGACAGGCTTTAGTAACAGACAGGCTTTAGTAACAGACAGGCTTTCCACAACAAACTCTGACTGCAAAAGTAATTGGAGCAAGCATGGCCCCTACTGAGTGAAAGACGGGATAGCCACAACAAACACTGAATACTAAACAAGTGGAGCAAGCACTGAATACTAAACAAGTGGAGCAAGCACGGCCCCTACTGAGTGAAAGACAAGATAGCCACAACAAACACTGAATACTAAACAAGTGGAGCAAGCACGGCCCCTACTGAGTGAAAGACAAGATAGCCACAACAAACACTGAATACTAAACAAGTGGAGCAAGCACGGCCCCTACTGAGTGAAAGACAAGATAGCCACAACAAACACTGAATACTAAACAAGTGGAGCAAGCACGGCCCCTACTGAGTGAAAGACAAGATAGCCACAACAAACACTGAATACTAAACAAGTGGAGCAAGCACGGCCCCTACTGAGTGAAAGACAAGATAGCCACAACAAACACTGAATACTAAACAAGTGGAGCAAGCACGGCCCCTACTGAGTGAAAGACAAGATAGCCACAACAAACACTGAATACTAAACAAGTGGAGCAAGCACGGCCCCTACTGAGTGAAAGACAAGATAGCCACAACAAACACTGAATACTAAACAAG